TAAAACCAACGAACTGCTGGCGGCTCAGTGAGAACAACTCACAGACTCACAAAAGCCAGGAGGATTGGGAGTTTTACCTCCAGGAGTTCTACCAGGTCCTAAGAGGGAATACAGTTGAAAAATCTCCTGCTTCTGGCAGGGGGAGGGGAAGAGACCAATTCTGAAATACGCCAGTTTTCTCTTCTTTTCTGTTCTTTTCCGCCCTCAGCAGAAACTATTTTACCAGAGCCTACCCCACCTGGAGGAAGGGAAATAACACAACTTCAGACCCCTCTAACCATCCTGTCCCATCTAAGGAGAGAAAAAGTGAAGCACTCGAGTTCAGGCAGGGGCACAGGCTCACATGTACAGACTCCACCCAACAACAGCAATTACACATTTTTCTTAAACTCACATGGAACACTCACCAAGACAGACCACACATAAAACACACCGTAACAAATTTTTTTAAATTTTGTTATGTTAATCACCATACATTAAGTCGTTAGTTTTTGATGTAGTGTTCCATGATTCATTGTTTGCATATAACACCCACTGCTCCATTCAATACGTGCCCTCTTTAATACCCATCACCAGGCTAACCCATCCCCCTACCGCCCTCCCTTCTAGAACCCTCAGTTTGTTTCTCAGAGTCCATAGTCTCTCATACACTGTAACAAATTTAAAAGAAGAGCAATCACACAGTGTCTGCTCAGACCACAATGCAATTAAACTAGAAATCAGTTAACAGAGATCTGGAAAATCCCCAAAGTACTTGAAAATTAAACAGCACACCTGTAAAGAAGACATGAATCAAAGAAAAAAAATCTCAAGAGAACTTTAAAAAATTTTTAGATTTTTTTCAAATTTCAAAATTTGGGAGACAGCAAAAGCAGTACTTAAAGGGAAATTTATAGCACCTAAAAGATATATTTAAAGAAAAGATTTTAGGGGCACCTGGGTGGCTCCGTCGTTAAGCGTCTGCCTTCGGCTCAAGTCATGATCCCAGGGTCCTGGGATCGAGCCCCACATAGGGCTCCCTGCTCTGCGGGAAGCCTGCTTCTCTCCCTCTCCCACTCCCCCTGCTTGTGTTCCCTCTCTCACTGTGTCTCTCTCTGTCAAATAAATAAAATCTTAAAAAAAAAAAAAAGAAAGATTTTAAAAGTCAATAAACTAAGCTTTTACCTTATGAATCTAGATAAAGAGCAAATTAATTCCAAAGCTAGCAGAAAACAAATAGAGAACTCAATGAAACCGAAAACAGAAATCAATAGAGAAAAATCAACAAAACCAAAAGCTCATTCTCGGCAGGGGGCGGGGGGGGGGGAGTGGAAATCAGTAAAATGTATCAGCCTTTCTCTAGGATAAAGAAAAAAGACCCAGGGTGGCTCAGTCGGTTAAGCGTCTGCCTTTGGCTCAGGTCATAATCTCAGGGTCCTGAGATCAAGCCCCACGACGGGCTCCATGCTCAGCAGGGAGTCTGCTTCTCCCTCTCCCTCTCTCCCTACCTGTGTGCTCTCTCTCTCTAATAAATAAAAAATCTTAAAGAAAAAAAGAAAAAAGACCCAAATTGCTAGTATCAGAAATGAAAGGGGATATCACTCCAGATAAAACGGTAACAGAGGCATCTGGCTGGCTCAGTCAGAGGAGCGTGCAACTCCTGATCTTGGGATTATGAGTTCAAGCCCCACGTTGAGTGCAGAGACTGCTTAAAAATAAAATCTTAAGGGGGGGGAAAAAAAAGGATAACCAAAGGATGAACAACTCTACGGCCACTAATGTGATAACCAAGATGAAATGAACCAATTCCTTGAAAGATACCATCTGTCACAACTCACACAAGAATAGACAATCTGACTAGGTCTGTATCTATTAAAGAAGATGTATCAGTGATTAATAACCTGACAAAACAGAACATACCATGCCCAGATGGGTTTACTCATGAATTCTACCAAACATTTAAGGAAGAAATGATACCAATTCTCTACAATCCCTTCCAGAAAACAGAAGCAGAAGGAATACTTCCTAACTCATTCAATGAGACAAGCATTATGCTAGTATCCAAACCAGACAAAGACCTTACAAGAAAACTACAGTTCAGTATCTCTCATAAACAGAGATGCAAAAATCCTTGACAAAAGATATGCAAATCAAATCCAAAACATATAAAAAGAATTATAAACCAAGTAGGATTTATCCCAGGTATGCAAGACTGGTTTAACATTCAAAAATCAATTAACGTAATTCATGTCAACAGCCTAAAGGAAAAAAAAAATCACATGATCATATCCATATATGCAGAAAAAGCATCTGACAAAATCCAACACTCATTTGTGACTAAAAACTCCCAGCAAACTAGGAATAATGGTGAGCTTCTCAACCTTATAAAGAACAGCCACAAAAAACCTACACCAAACATCATACTTAAAGGTGAGAAACTCAAAGCTTTCCTACTGAGATCAGGAACAATTCCAATCGAATACAATCAAAATCCCAACAAGTTACATTGTGGATACTGACAAATTGATTTCACAGTTTACACAGACAGTCAAAAGACCCAAAACAGCAAACTCCACATTGAAAAGAACAAAGTTGGAGGACTAGCACTTCTCAACTTCAAGACTTACTACAAAGCTGCAATAATCAAGACAGTGTGGTGCTGATGAAAGAGCAAAGAGATCAATGGAACAGGACAAATAGCCCAGAAACAGATGCACATAAATGCAATCAACTGATCTTTGACAATGGAGCAGATAGTCTTTTCAACAAATGGTGCTGGAACATCGCATGCAAAAATCAATCTAGACACAGACCTTGTACTCTTCACAAAAATTAACCCCAAACAGATCACAGACCTAAATGTAAAATGCAAAACCATAAGCCTCCCAGAAAATAACATAGGATAAAACCTAGATGACCTTGTGCAATAAACTCAATTATTTTTGTCCCCTCAAAATTCATATGCAGAAATCTTAACCCACAAGGTGACAGTATTAGGAAGTGAAGCCTTTGGAAGATGATTAGGTCATGAGGGTGGAGCCCTCATAAACAGGATTAGTACTATTATAAAAGGGACCCCAGAGAGCTCCCTTGCCCTCTTTTGGCCATATAAAGATATGATGAGAAAATGCCTGTCTGCAATAAATTAAGAGTCCTCACTAGAACCTGATTATGCTTGCACCCTGATCTCTGATTTCTCGCCTCCAAAACTGTGCAAAATAAATTTCTGTTGTTGAAAAGCCACCCAGTCTTTGAATTCTGTTATACCAGTCCAAATTAAGAAACCTTGGGCTATGGCAATGACTTTTTAGATACAACACCAAAACCCTGACAGACACCTCACTAAAGAAGACACACAGGTACGCCTAGGTGGCTCATTTGATTAATAGTCTGCCTCTTAATCTCAGCTCAGGTCTTGATCTCAGGGTCCTGAGTTCAGGCCCCACGTTGGGCTCCACCTGGGCAAGAAGCCTACCTAAAAAAAAGAAAAAAGATATATACAGATGGCAAATAAGCATATGAAGAGATGCTCAATATCATATGTCATTAGGGAATTGCAATTTAAAACAATGAGATACAAAAAAGGGGGGGGTCACCAGGGTGGCTCAGCCCAGTTGAGCATCCGACTCTTAGGTTTCAGCCTAGGTCATGATCTCAGGGTTGTGAGATCGAGCCCTGCATCAGGCTCCATGCTCAGTGGGGAGTGTGCTGAGATTCTTTCTCCCTCTCCCTCTGCCCCTCCCCCCCCGCTTTTGTGTGTGTGTCTCTCTCTCACACATAAATAAATCTAAGTAAATAAATAAATAAATAAAGATACCACTACATACCTATCAGAATGGCCAAAGTCCAAAACACTGACACCACCAAATGCTGGCAAGATCGTGGAGCAAAAGGAACTCTCATTCACTGCTGGTGGGAATGCAAGATGATACAGCCACTTTGGAAGACAGTTTGGCAGTTTCTCAAAAAGGTAAACATACCCTTACCATACAATCCAGTAACTGTGCTTGTTATCTATTCAAATGAAGTGAAAACTTATGTTCACACAAAAACCTGCACACAGATGTTTACAGCAACTTTTCTTAACTGCCAAAATTCAGAGGCAACCAAGATGTCATTCAGTAAATGAATGGATAGATAAGCTGTGGTACCTACAGACCACAGAATATTTATTCAGCACTAAAAGGAAGTGAGTTCTCGGGGCACCTGGGTGGCTCAGTCAGTTGGGTGGCCGCCTTCAGCTCAGGTCATGATCCCAGGGTCCTGGGATCGAGCCCCACATCGGGCTCCCTGCTCCGCGGGAAGTCTGCTTCTCCCTCTCCCACTCCCCGTGCTTGTGTTCCCTCTCTCGCTGTGTCTCTCTCTGTCAAATAAATAAATAAAATCTTTAAAAAAAAAAAAAAAGGAAGTGAGTTCTCAAGCCATGAAAAAACATGAAGGAACCCTAAATGTATATTATTAAGTAAAAAAAAAAAAACAGTCCAAAAATGGTACATACTGTGTGATACCAACTATGACATTCTAGAAAAGGCAAGACCCTAAAGACAATAAAAAGATTAGTGGTTGTTGGGGGTTAAGGTGGGAGGCAGGAAAGAACAGGCAGAACACGGAGAATTTCAAAGGCAGTGAAACTATTCTGTAGGATCTTAAAATGGTGGATATATGTCATTATACATTTGTCAAAACCCACAGAATATACACTGACAGTGAACTCTCAACCGTGGCTTTGGAGTGGATAATGATGTGCCAGTATAGGTTCATGGATTGTAACGGATGTACCACTCTGGTGCTGATGTCCATGGTGGGGATTACTGGGGGACGGGAGTATATGGGAACTTTTTTACTTTGACCTCAATCTTGCTGTGAACCTTAAACTGCTCCATGAAATAAAGTTTATTAATTTTTTAAATTGTTTAAAAATAAATCTTATTTGTATTTTACAATTAAAAAGATCTGCTAAATAACTGTTCATTTTTAACGGAGCTTAAAAATGTCACATGTTATACATCATTTGAAAAGGAGATGAATGAAAAGTTTTCTAGGGAAAGAAGGTATTTTTCACTGCTTATACATGCAAAAAACAAAGAACAAAAGAATCCAGCTTATAATTTAGCATTTACCTATTTCCGCAGCTAACAGTGTACTTCTAAAAGCTTCTAAGAACAAAGTACTTTATTATACCAAACTAAGCAAGCTGAATTACTGGCAATTAAAACGAAACAAAACAGAAAAACCCTCTAAAGCCCACCAATGCGGGAAACGGCTGCAGTGGACACCTTCGCCGTGCAACGGCCAGAAAGAATGAGGCGCAGAGATCTGTGCCGCTGGGACTCAGGGCGAAGTGACTGAGTGGTAAAAATGTGTGTGTTCTCAACACTGAATAGCTTCCAGAAGCACAAATGTAAGTACACAAATGCACAGAAAAAAATCAAGAAGGCAGACACAAAACTATTAACAGCAGAATGTGGAAAAGGATCAGGAGAAGATGATCAGAAGAGAGTTGGTATTACCTATGACTTTACTTTTTTTCAAAACAAATATAATCACATATTTCATTAAAAAAAAAAAAACTAAGAGTTTTCATTCCAAACAGAAAAATGGCAATAGAATAAAAAAGAAAAATTCACAATATCCTACACCTTTAGTCAAAATTTTAAAACCAAAGCCAGTAAAAGTTCATCAAATAAGCTATTAATTATTAAGAACGTCAGTTTGGCCTGAACCATTTGTTCTGTGAAAATTTGTGACTTCTACACTAAACTACTTGCAAAAAACACCCATAAATTTAAATTATCCAAAGTTATTTTCTATGGAAAAGGGAGGAGAGAACATTAACATCTCCATTTTACATGTGAAGAAATGGGCTCAGAAAGGTGAAATAATGTGCCCAGTCAGACAGCTAATCTGGTCAAACCAAGGCTCCAGTCCAGTTCTCATGAACTTAATCCACCCTCCCTCTAAACCATTCTGGCCAGACTGCCTCCCTCCCTCCCAAGAGGCTCCTTCTTGATAGGAAAGATGAACATCCCACACTCACCTTGAGGGGAAAAAGTTAAAAATAACGCATGTAATGAATCAAACACAAGCGGTAACGGTAGTAACAGGCACAGGGCAAACAAGCTATAGGAGAAGACACAATTTACAGCTACCAGGGTTAAAGCACGTAAGCACGGAATGCCACTGCTGAAGGTTCACACTAATCAGGAGGCAATTCAGTAGTAACTGACATCAAGAACTGAAAAACTGGCCTGACAATATGGTAAATGGCAGGAATGGACTTCCTCTGCATTTTTCTGGAGAAACATAAACATGCCCAGTAATGTTTATTTTTAATCCTCACAACAATTCTGCTAAACCAGCTCTCTCTCCACCCCATTCTCCCTATAATTCTTTCTCATTCTTTCCTCAATGCCCCAGAAGATTATTGAGCTTTATTTTTTGAAGTTTGATGGAAACAATAGCTACACTGTCTATGCATTTCAAACTCTTTGTCCTCATTGAAAAACCACTGGGATAGGACTAGAAGTAGCTATTAAGTCTTTGCTCCCGATATCAGCAGTGCTGGCACCAAACCCAACCCTCTTTCCAAGGAGGGCTGTGGCAGAAGCAGGACCACAATCTACAGGGCCTTACACACCACAGGGCCACAAAGTGAGTTCCAACCCTAGCCCAGCCTACATACCCTTAGATCCCTGGATGCCTCTTTTGTTTCTGATTGTCCCTCTTTCAGTTATTAGTCAAAAAAAGAAAAGACTTAACATAAAGAAGTACAGAACAGTCCCTCCTCTCCCTCGGAATAGGTCATGTGTTACAAATGCTAAAATGCACTCTCTCCCTTTTCGCTTGGCTCATAATCTATTTTGATCCACATCCCTTTTCCAGATTGTTTTTGGTGTTCTGTACTTGGCTAGTCACAGGTGAGGTCCACATAACTCTTTTCTAGCAAATGATCCCTTTTTTTTTTTTTAAGATTTGAGAGAGACATGGAGAGAGCCAGTGAGGGCACAAGCAGGGGAAGAGTCAAGGAGGAAGGAGAAGCAGACTCCCCACCAAGCAGGATGCCCAACGCGGGACCCAATCCAGGACCCCGGGATCATGACCCGAGCCGAAGGCAGCCACCCAACCAACAGGGCCACCCAGGCACCCCAAATGATCCCATTTTAAAAAGGCAATTATTTTTGAAATCTTTCCCATTTCTGGATATAAAAATGAGCTAACTAATGTGAAGAAGTAGAAAATCTCTAAGAAATTCCTTACTGACACAGGACCACTCCACACCAACAGAGGAAAAAATTCGTATTTGCTAGTTTATAACAAAACGAACATCCTCTATTACTTGTAACTTCTCACGTCTTTTGAATACTGATGACACATGCAAAGCATGGATCTGGTACACAGTTATTCAGAGGTAATAAGACACAAAGAATAATCTAAAATAACAGATAAGGCCACCAACCTAAAAATGAAAGAGACTAAACGTATCTGCTGGACTGACCAACATAACAAGTGCTTTAGGTACAGAACACCTCAAATTCCTGGATAAGGAACAACTGACCACTAACTTCTAACTAATGTCAATAGCAACAATTGGAAAAAGACAAAAAAGACTGACCAACATAACAAGTGCTTTAGGTACAGAACACCTCAAATTCCTGGATAAGGAACAACTGACCACTAACTTCTAACGTCAAAAGCAACAATTGCAAAAAGACAAGAAATATGTTATGACCAACATAACAAGTTGCTTTAGGTACAGAACACCTAAATTCCTGGATAAGGAACAACTGACCACTAACTTCTAACTAATGTCAGTAGCAACAATTGGAAAAAGACAATAGCAACAATTGGAAAAAGACAATGTCAAAATGCTAAGGGAAAATAATCATCAACCTAGAATTGGGTATTAGGCAAAAAACTGCCTTTCAAGAATAACAACATATTAAAAAAGGGATTTTAAAAAGCAGCAAAATGAAAACCATTAAAGGCAACATATAAATTGGGAAAAGGTGCAGACTAGCGCATTTGGGGGCTCTCATAAGGGTAAAGAGATTGATTAACTATAGGCTGTAAGTTAAACATGAAATGTCTTAAGATTACCAAGAAGAGCAGTGTCTCATCTCCATATTACTGGGTATGGGCACAAGGGGTGGATAGGAGTGAAGAAAAAAAAAAAAATCCCGTAATACAGAAGGCATGGGGCACCTGGGTGGCTCAGCTGTTAAGTGTCTGCCTTTGGCTTGGATCATGATCTCAGGGTCCTGGGATCGAGTCCTGCATCGGGCTCCCTGCTCAGCGGGGAGCCTGCTTCTCCCTCTCCCACTCCCCCTGCTTGTATTCCCTCTCTTGTGGTCTCTCTGTCAAATAAATAAATAAAACCTTTAAAAAAATACATAAGAAAAGAAAAAGAACAACAAAAAAGCCAAGTTAAAAAGCAGAAAATAAGATAGTAGAAATAAACCAAATATTTTAATCACAATTAACATAAATGGACTAACTCATCAGTTTAAAATCAAATTATAAGGAGGGCACATGTTGGATGAGCACTGGGTGTTATACGCAGCTAAATGACTCGTTAAACACTACATCAAAAACTAATGATGTACTTATACGTTGGCTAATTGAACATATTAAAAAAATAAATAAAAATTAAAAAAATAAAGTCGAATTATAAAAATGCAATCTAGGGGCACTTGGTGGCTCAGTCAATTAGGCGTTCAACTCTTGATCTCAGCTCAGGTCTTTTTCTTGGGGTTGTGAATTCAAGCCCCAAGTTGGGCTCCACACGGGGCACGGAGCCTACTTAAAAAAAAGAAAATTAAAAAAAACTGCAACCTAGCTAGTACTGCTTTCAAAAGGCACATGTAAAACATTAAAACCATAAAAAGCTTGTTAGTGAAAGGGCAGAAAAAGAGTATCAGGCAAACATTAACCAAAAGTCACAGCTATACCAATATCTTGACAGAATATACTTTTTTTTTTTTTAAGATTTTATTTATTTATTTCAGAGAGAGAGAGAATGAGAGACAGAAAGCACGAGGGGGAAGGGGGTCAGAGGGAGAAGCAGACTCCCTGCTGAGCAGGGAGCCCGATGTGGGACTCGATCCCGGGACTCCAGGATCATGACCTGAGCCGAAGGCAGTCGCTTTAACCAACTGAGCCACCCAGGCGCCCGACAGAATATACTTTAATAGAAAAGTATTCCTAGGGGAGCCTGGGTGGCTCAGTCGTTCAGCATCTGCCTTCAGCTCAGGTATGATCCCAGGGTCCTGGGATCGAGCCCCGTGTCAGAGAAGCCTGCTTCTCCCTCTCCCCCCCCCCCGGGCTTGTGTTCCCTCTCTCACTGTCTCTCTGTCAAATAAATAAATAAAACCTTTAAAAAAAAAAAAAAAAGTATTCCCAGAGAGACAGCCGATTCTAAACTTATAGGCACAAAGCAAAACCTGAGAGCACCACAGAGATGTGACAGGTCTCCCATCACAACAAGGGACTTCAACAACACCCCTCTGTAAGTGACCTAACAGCAGACAAAAGTAGTTAAGGATACTAGTTTGAATGTGAATTCAATTAATGCATTTCATCTAATACACACGGAAAAACCTCACCTTAAAACCAGAAACACACTGGCTTTTTAAGCACACACACTGAACACTGATAAAAATTTGCCACAAACCAGACACCAATAAAACAGCCTCAACAAAATTCAAAAAAATCAGAATCACACTGGATCACATATTATTAACACAATATATGTTAGTAATCAATAACAAAGATTAAGACAAAAATACACCAAAATTTTTCAAAATACTTTCTAAACTTTTCAGTCGGAGAAGAAATCACAATGAAAATCTGAATATATTCAGAACTGAAAGATAAAAATTCTACATAGTGAAACTTCTGAGATGTAGCCAAAGCGTTATTTAAATGGAAATTACTACTTGACTTAGAAGTATATGTACATATGAGTATACAAAAAAAGCCAAATATTAAGGACCTAAGCATCTGTTTAAGTTAAAAATTAGTGATTAATTCCAATTAGACAGATTTAAAAGAAATTAAAATTTTATGCCAATACATTTGAAAATGAAGACAAAATAAATTTAGAAAAATGTAAACTACCAAACGTGATTCAAGAAAAATAAAAACTCTAATGATCCTGTAAATATTAAAGCAACCAGTCAGTAATTTTAAAATGTCGGAGAGTGGCGCCTGGGTGGCTCAGTAGGTTAAGTGTCTGCCTTCAGCCCAGGTCATGATCCTGGGGTCCTGCGCAGGCTTGCTCAGTGGGGAGCCTTCCCTTCTACTTCTCCCTTTCCCTCTGCCTGCCGCTCCCCGCTTGTGCGCACACACTCTCTCTGTCAAATAAATAAAATCTTTTTATAAATAAATAAATAAATACATAAATAAATAAAATGTCAGAAAACACCAGGCAGGCTCTAATGGTTTTACAGGCAAATTTTATCAAACACTGAAGGAACAGGTAATTCCAATTTTACCCATTCTCTAAGAGAATAGGAGGAAACACTACAGCTATTTTATTAAACTAACCTTGATGATAAAATGTATCAAGGTTTATACAAAAAAAGGAAAATCATAGACCCATCTTACCAATTAACACAGAACCATAAATCCCAAGATATTAGCAAGTCAAAAGCATAAAAAAGAAAAACATTTTTTAAAAACAATACAATATTTTTTAAAAATATGTCATGATCAAGATGGATTTAACCCAGAAATGTAAGGTTAATTTCAGTATTACGTTAATTTCAAAATTACCTTAATTTTTCCACATTACCAGATTAAAGCTGAAAAATCATACTATCATCATCTCGGTAGATGCAGAAAATGCACTCAATTGAGCTTAATACCTACTTGTAATTTTTTTTTAATTTTCCATAAACTAATACTGAAGGAACCTTCCTCAGCCTGTTAAAGGGGGGAAAAAGTACCATACATTTAATGGTGAAAGATAAAAGCATTTCCTTTAAAACCAGGAATACAACAAAGATTTCTGCCACTACCAGTTACATTCTCCACTGCAATGGTTGTCCTGAAACAGTGCAATTAGACTAGAATAAGATATAAAAAGTAAAAGTACTGGAAAGAAATGAAATGCCATTATTCAAAGATAAGATGATTATCTATATAAAAACCCCAAGAGTCCGCAAATTGTTAAGTTAGAGAAGTTACCACAAAGAAGAGCTGGATATAGGGGCATCTGGGTGGCTCAATCAGTTAAGCATCTGCCTTCGGCTCTGGTCATGATCATGGGGTCGTGGGATCAAGCCCACACTGGGCTCCCTGCTCAGCAAGGAGCCTGTTTCTCCCTCTCCCTCTGCCCATCCCCCTGCTCATGTTCTCTCTCTCTCTCAAAGAAAGAAAGAAGATCTTCTGGCGTGCCTGGGTGGCTCAGTCGTTTAGCAGCTGCCTTTGACTCAGGTCATGATCCCAGGGCCCTGGGATTGAGCCCTGCATCGGGCTCCCTGTTCTCCCTCTCCCACTCTCCCCTGCTTGTGTTCGCTCTCTCGCTGTCTCTGTCAAATAAATAAATAAAATCTTTA